GCTAAAAAAAAAATCCCAATACGTGTAAATTAATTGGTATACATGAAAGTTATAGCGTTTACAAATGGCGGGAAAGATGCTGGGATTTTTAATTTTTTTTATACTAATAATGGCGGCGATCAGGGATATATTTGGCAGCAATCAGCGACTTATGGCAGGACTGCGGGGGATGGCGGCGGAAATTTTGACACTGGGGGGGAACTGACTTGGGGTCACACTGACATCCTCAGTGACACCAATATACAGTGATCAGTGAAAAAAAAACCCACTGACACTGTACTAATGGCACTGGGGGAGGAAGGGTGTAACGGACATGTAGATTTGAGTGGAAATATGGTATCATAGCCATGACAGGTTGAGAAGATTAGATTATGTCAGGCCCTTTCATTGCAAAGGTGTGTGCAAGGAACAGTCTGGTCATTAAGGATGTACATTGAGCCCCCTGGGCAGTAGGGAAAATGAATAGAAGGTACAAACAAATGATTGGGATCAGATGTGTATTGTATACACAATTACTCCATAGGCCTTACAGACTCAATCATCATTTAGCATTAATTAGTCTAAAGCCAGGTTCTGGAGGTGACAACTTTTGTGTGTCAATCAGGTTATCACCTTCTGGGAAAGCAGCTGACAGCAGACAGACTGTCTGCCTTTTGTAGAAAGTTCTATAAGTAATATTCACATCAAAGAAGTATGTTTTTAATCTCTTATAAAAGCCAAAATATTAGTTGGAGAGATATGAACAAGCTTCCTTTGTGCAGACCAATCTGTGCGCTACATTTACATATAAAGAATCATATTTGTGGCTTGGGAGGAAGCCAGGGAAATGCATGGAATGGTTAGATGACACGGGGGTGCGACAGTCGGATGGTGTTTGGTACTGTTGCGATCGGGCTGACGCGCTGGTGTCAGAAATCCAATCCCCCGATTGGTGTTCAGGCCAGTCTTGGCCCAATTGAACTTGGGCAGGTCCATGCACAGTACCTCTTGTGGGCAGGTCAGGACCACCTACCCCCAGAGTCAATTGGCCGAAAGACTAATATCCCGCCCATGTCCAAATCGCAATAAATTGAACGCATGGACATTTGGACAGTGTGATCCGTACGGAGCTGGTTCGATTGACCAATGGATTGCTAAGTTTCTGGCTTGCTCCAGCCGCAGGGTAAAGTGTTATTCTGTCTTTTTATTCCCTTTTATTTTATAGTAATTAGTCATTTGTGTGTCTTCTTATATCTTTTGTATTTTATGTAACTTGTTATATTTTGTACATATTTTATGCTGCCCACTTTGGGAAATTAAATCTTAAAATTAATTAGTGAAACTTCTGTGTACTTTAAGCACATGCTCATATCTTCGGAGAGACTAGATCGAGAGATTAGTTTGGGTTATATTGTATTTTAGTGCCTTTAAAAACGCTCGGTTAAGCTCATTGCCAATCTGTATGCAACTGCACTGTGAGTGGGCAGATTGCACGCAGATTGCAAAGGTAACAGATCTGCCAGACGGAGATCTGTGTGTGTGTGTGGTGTCTCAACAGACCGTTCTGCGGATAAACTGTTGGGTGGTGGCAGGCTACCTTTGTGGTGCGTCTGGTGTGGGGGTGTGTGGACAGTGGAAGGGTTATCAACACCGGGGTTCAAGCTAGGATAGCTGAGGGACCTTTAGAAGGGTGTGTGATTACTAAGCTGGTCCTCAACTCTAATCAGGCACCAGGTTGTATGTAAGATCGTATCTGCCAGTGTGTGGTGGAACCAGCTAGATTGGAGTGGAGCCTCCATCTGGGTGGTGGCCAGAGGTAGTGCGGGCTGTGAAAAGGTATCATGGCTGATCTTTATATACGGTTTGAGATATTTAAGTGTAAAACCCCTTTATTATATCCCCTCTTTACCACCCTGTCGCTGGGCCGCACGCGTGCGTCACGGTTAGCTAGTCGCTGTGGGCGTGGCGTGTGGTGGAACCACGTGACAGGGTGATCGTTTTAAGCGAATCCTTGACAAAGGGTTAACATTTTTAGTGTTAACTGTGTGAGGGGAGTGTTTTACTAGGGGGCGGGGGTGTGCTGGACAGGGACAGACTCTTCTCTCCCTCTTCAGCTTGTCACGAGCTGACAGGCAACTGACAGATAGCAGGGCTGTGTATAAACAATGCAGCCCTGCTCTCTGTCAGCGATCACTGCTAATCGCGGGGAAACGGCCGGTAATGACCGGCCGTGACCCGGCGGCGGCGGAGACCCGCAACTGACACCCGCGGGAACAGGTAAGGCGGGTGCGCGCACATGTTTTTCAAAAACCATGTTTTAAAACGTGGTTTTGCGCAGCCGTGCCGCGCCTGCAAACGTACTAATGCAGTGGCTGGGGTACGTCCCTTCTGAAGAAGTTAATAATGGAATGTCATAGACTCACTATCTGACATACAATTAACAGGGTGACATGGGCGTTGTATTAATACGTCCCTTCCATAAGCTCAAGTTCACATTCCTTTAGTAAAAATGGCCGAATTGGCTTCAGCAAGTGTGCGCCACGCTTGTGCTGTATAAACACATGAAAGGTGGGTGTGACCTGTGTCCTTGCAGGAGATCAGCAAAATCAAACCTCTCTCTTGGCTAGCCAGCTTCTGACTGAGAACCCCTCAGTTCAACATGCTGATTCACAAGCCTGGCCCCGCCCCTCGGCTCGTAGCCCCGCCCCTTCAGCTCATGGCTCCACCTTCCACTGTTGAAGGCTCCGCCCCCTCATTGTGTTTTTCCCCTTGTTATCAAGTGCAAGAACCTAGCCCTGCCCACTCATTTCTATTGCCTACATTTGGCTGCATCATATTTAATAATGGAATGTCATGGACATACAATAACAGGGTGACATGGGGTTGTATTATTAATACGTCCCTTCCATGAGCTCAAGTTCACATTCCTTTAGTAAAAATGGCCGAATCGACTTCAGCAAGTCCCCGCCCCTCCTCTGAATTCCCTAGCTATCATTTGATCGTCTATCTGCAGGAAGCTTGTGCTGTAAAACACATGAAGGTGGGTGTGCACTGTGTCTTTGCAGGAGAGAGCAGCAAAATCAAACCTCTCTCTTGGCTAGCCAGCTTCTGACTGAGAACCCCTCAGTTCAACATGCTGATTCACAAGCCTGGCCCCGCCCCTCGGCTCGTAGCCCCGCCCCTTCAGCTCATGGCTCCACCTTCCACTGTTGAAGGCTCCGCCCCCTCATTGTGTTTTTCCCCTTGTTATCAAGTGCAAGAACCTAGCCCTGCCCACTCATTTCTATTGCCTACATTTGGCTGCATCATATTTAATAATGGAATGTCATGGACATACAATAACAGGGTGACATGGGCGTTGTATTAATACGTCCCTTCCATGAGCTCAAGTTCACATTCCTTTAGTAAAAATGGCCGAATCGACTTCAGCAAGTCCCCGCCCCTCCTCTGAATTCCCTAGCTATCATTTGATCGTCTATCTGCAGGAAGCTTGTGCTGTATAAACACATGAACGGTGGTGGGTGTGCACTGTGTCTTTGCAGGAGAGCAGCAAATCAAACCTCTCTCTTGGCTAGCCAGCTTCTGACTGAGAACCCCTCAGTTCAACATGCTGATTCACAAGCCTGGCCCCGCCCCTCGGCTCGTAGCCCCGCCCCTTCAGCTCATGGCTCCACCTTCCACTGTTGAAGGCTCCGCCCCCTCATTGTGTTTTTCCCTTGTTATCAAGTGCAAGAACCTAGCCCTGCCCACTCATTTCTATTGCCTACATTTGGCTGCATCATATTTAATAATGGAATGTCATGGACATACAATAACAGGGTGACATGGGCGTTGTATTAATACGTCCCTTCCATGAGCTCAAGTTCACATTCCTTTAGTAAAAATGGCCGAATCGACTTCAGCAAGTCCCCGCCCCTCCTCTGAATTCCCTAGCTATCATTTGATCGTCTATCTGCAGGAAGCTTGTGCTGTATAAACACATGAACGGTGGGTGTGCACTGTGTCTTTGCAGGAGATCAGCAAAATCAAACCTCTCTCTTGGCTAGCCAGCTTCTGACTGAGAACCCCTCAGTTCAACATGCTGATTCACAAGCCTGGCCCCGCCCCTCGGCTCGTAGCCCCGCCCCTTCAGCTCATGGCTCCACCTTCCACTGTTGAAGGCTCCGCCCCCTCATTGTGTTTTTTCCCCTTGTTATCAAGTGCAAGAACCTAGCCCTGCCCACTCATTTCTATTGCCTACATTTGGCTGCATCATATTTAATAATGGAATGTCATGGACATACAATAACAGGGTGACATGGGCGTTGTATTAATACGTCCCTTCCATGAGCTCAAGTTCACATTCCTTTAGTAAAAATGGCCGAATCGACTTCAGCAAGTCCCCGCCCCTCCTCTGAATTCCCTAGCTATCATTTGATCGTCTATCTGCAGGAAGCTTGTGCTGTATAAACACATGAACGGTGGGTGTGCACTGTGTCTTTGCAGGAGATCAGCAAAATCAAACCTCTCTCTTGGCTAGCCAGCTTCTGACTGAGAACCCCTCAGTTCAACATGCTGATTCACACGCCAGGCCCCGCCCCTCAGCTGCTAGCCCTGCCCCTTCAGCTCATGGCTCCACCTTCCAGTGAAGAAGGCACCGCCCCTCTTTGTGTCTTTCCGCCTGGTTATCAAGTGTAAGAACCTAGCCCCGCCCCCTCATTTCTATAGCCTACATTTGGCTGCATCATATTTAACCACTTGCCTACCAGGCACTTATACCCCCTTCCTTACCAGGCCAATTTTCAGCTTTCAGCGCTGCCGCACTTTGATTGACAATTGCGCGGTCATGCAACATTGTACCCATATGAAATTTTGATCATTTTTTTCTCACAAATAGAGCTTTCTTTTGGTGGTATTTAATCGCCACTGGGCGCTTTACTTTTTGCGCTATAAATAAAAAAAGTGCAAAAAATTTGAAAAAAAAAAAAAAGTTTCTTTGTTTCTATTATAAAATTTTTCAAACAGGTAATTTTTCTCCTTCACTGATGTGCGTTGATGAGGCAGCACTGATGGTCACTGATAGGCGGCACTGATGGGCACTGATAGGCAGCACTAAAGGGCACTGATAGGCAGTTCTAATGAGGTGGCACGGATAGGCGGCACTGATAGAAAGCACTAATGAGGTGTCGTGGATAGGCGGCACTAATATGCAGCACTGATAGGCGGCACTGATGATGGGTACTGATAGACGGCACTGACTGGCATCACTGCTGGGCACTGACTGGCGGCACTGACTGGCACAACCGCTGGACACTGACTGGTGGCACTGACTGGCAGCACTGGTGGGTGGGCACAGGTGGGTGGCAGTGTTGGGCACAGGTGGGTGGGCACAGGTGGGTGGCACTGCTGGGCACAGGTAGGTGGCACTTCTGGGCACAGGTGTGTGACACTGCAGAGTGGCACAGGTGGGTGCACTGCTGGGCACAGGTGGGTGATCTGCTGGGGGCACAGGTGGGCGGAGCTAGTGGGCGCACTGCTGGGCACAGGTGGGCGGAACTTGCGGGTGCCACTGCTGGGCACCGATCATCAGTGCCCTGATGATCGGTGCCGATCCTCGCTCTGACAACTGCCGGTTCTCGGCAGTACTTTCCTCACGATCTGACAGCGTGAGGAAAGTGCAGCCAAGAACCGGCACTTGCATTTCCCTCTGATCAGCGTGTCATTGGACACCGTTGATCACGTGGTAAAAGGCCGCTGTGATTGGCCTTTTACCACATCACGTGATCAGCTGTGTCCGTAGGACACAGCGATCACGGAGATCTCCGGGTGCGCGCCCCCTAGGGCGCGCAGGAGAGCGCGTTCTGGGAGGACGTCATATGACGTCCACTCAGAACTGGCCGGCCGCAGAGCAGCCGTCATTCGGCTATCTGCGGTCGGCAACAAGTTAATAAGGGAATGTCATGGACTCACCGTCTGACATACAATAACAGGGTGACATGGGCGTTGTATTAATACGTCCCTTCCATAAGCTCAAGTTTACATTCCTTTAGTAAAAATGGCCGAATCGACTTCAGCAAGTCCCCGCCCCTCCTCTGAATTCCCTAGCTATCATTTGATCGTCTATCTGCAGGAAGCTTGTGCTGTATAAACACATGAACGGTGGGTGTGACCTGTGTCCTTGCAGGAGAGCAGCAAAATCAAACCACTCTCCCGTCTGGCCAACTGCCGACTGAGAACCCCTCAGTTCAACATGCTGATTCACAAGCCTGCCCCCCCCCTCGGCTTGTAGCCCCGCCCGTTCAGCTCGTGGCTCCACCTTCCACTGCAGAAGGCTGTGGCCCCTCACTGTGTTTTTCCCCGTGGTTATCAAGTGCAAGCACCTAGCCCCGCCCCCTCATTTCTATCGCCCAGATTTGGCTGCATCATATTTAACCACTAGCCTACAGGGCACATATACCCCCTTCCTGCCCAGGCCAATTTTCAGCTTTCAGCGCTGTCACACTTTGATTGACAATTGCGCGGTCATGCAACACTGTACCCATATGAAATTGTATTCATTTTTTTGTGACAGATAGATCTTTATTTTGGTGGTATTTAATCACCTCTGGGTTTTTTATTTTTTCTTAAACAAACCAAAAACCACTGAAATTTTTGAAAAAAAAAAAAAGTTTTTTTCTTAGTTTTTGTTATAAAATTTTGTAAATAAGTGATTTTTTCTCCTTCACTGATATGCGCTAATGAGGTTGCAGTGATGGGCACTGATAGGTTGCACTGATGAGGAGGCACTGGTAGGTGGCGCTGATGGGCATTGACAGTCATCACTGATGGACACTGAAAGGCAGCACTCATATGTGGCACTGATAGGCGGCATTGACTGGCACTGTTAGGTGCCACTGACTGGCACTGTTAGGTGGCACTGATAGGCAGCACTGATGGGCACTGATAGGCGGCCCTGATGCACACTAATAGGTGGCACTGATTGGCATTGATGTGGCACTGATGGGCACTGACAGGTGGCACTGGTGGGGCTACACTGATCATCAGGGCACACTGATCATCAGTTCCCTGATGATCAGTGTACATGTCCCCTCCGAGGAAAGCTGATTATCACCTCTCACCCTCCTCTTTTCGCAGCATGGGTTTGGGACCGTTCATGGCAGAGTTAAACATACTGAAAAATATTAACCACTTGCCTATTGGGCACTTATACCCCATCTGCCCAGGCCAATTTTCAGCGCTGTTGCACTTTGAATGACAATTGCACCATTATGCAACACTGTACCCATATGAAAAAAAGGTTTTCTTTGTTTCTATTATAAAATTTTGCAAATACGTAATTTTTCTCCTTCACTGAAGTGTGTTGATGAGGCTGCACTGATAGGCAGCATGGAAGGGCACTGCTGGGCAGCGATGGGTGGCACTGCTGGGCACAGGTGGGCGACACTGATGGGTACAGGTGGGCGACACTGATCAGCACAGGTGGGTGGCACTGATCAGTACCCTGATGATCAGTGACAATCACTTCTCTGACAATTATCAGCAGTACTTTCCTCATGCTGTGACAGCGTGAGGAAAGTGCAGCCGATAACCGGCAACTGTATTTACCCGGTGATCTGCTGTGTCATTGGACACAGCTGATCACTTGGTAAGAGGTCACAGTGATTGGCCGTTTGCCGTATCACGTGATGAGCTGTGCCCCTAGGACACAGCTATCACCGGCGGCGCTGGGGGCATGTAGGGGCTGTGCTCTGGAATGATGTCCATGGACATCGTCCCAGAACTAGACAACTGCGATGTAGCCATCTTTTGGCTATACCGCAGTAAGGAAGAGGTTAAAAATATTCCCATTGCCAACCCTTGGCTGTATCATATATAATGATATTTTGTCATGTAATTACCATCTAACAAGTTGGCATGGGTGTTGTATTACTATTTCCCTTCCATGTGCTCTAGCTCTCACAGCTAATAAAAATGGCCGATTCAGCTTTGGCAAGTGCCTACCCCTCCTCTGAATCTATAGGTGCCTAGCATCTGCAGGGCACATGCATGAACAGTGGGGTGTGGCAGTTGATAATATTGATAAAGCCTTCGAGCAGATGCCTGGCTCCGCCCCCTCTGCTTGCGATTCTGCCTTTCACCAGAACAGGCGCTGCCCCTAAATACTCTTTGTTTTGGTTATCAAGTGCAGCACTCTGCACAGCCTCTTCAGCGAAAGGCCCACCCTGTCAGACCCATTGACCACCCTTGGCTGTATCATATACGATAGTATGTCATATAATCACCGTCTGACATAGAACAAGATGGCATGAGTGTTGCATTAATATGTTCCTTCCATGCACTCTAGTTCCCACAGATCCCTCAGTGAAAATGGCCGAATCGGCTTCGGCAAGTGCCCGTCCCTCCTCTGAATCCCCTAGCTACCGTTTCTTTTTCTACCTCAGTGTTTCTCAACTCCAGTCCTCATGGACCCCCAACAGGTCATGTTTTCAGGATTTCCATTATTTTGCACAGGTGATTTGATCAGTTTCACTGCCTTAGTAATTACCACAGCTGTTTCATCTGAGGGAAATCCTGAAAACATGACCTGTTGGGGGTCCATGAGGACTGGAGTTGAGAAACACTGCTCTACCTGCAGGTCATCTATGCTGTATAATTACATGAACGGTGGGCGTGACTTGCAGCCTTGCAGGCAGCGCACCAAAATCACAGCGATCTGTTGGCCGGCCAGCTGCCGACTGAAAGAACCTCAGTTCAACACTCTGATAAACACTCATGACCCCGCCCACTCAGCTCGTGACCCCGCCCTTCAGCAGGCTATGCCACGCCCTTTCTGCGGAAGACCACGCCCCTCTTTTCTGGCTATCAAGTTGCGATACTTGACCCCGCCCTTTTAGCGTGAGGCCCCGCCCTCTATGTTCCATCAACGATTTACCATATAAAAAGATATTCAATCATGTTTATGACCTGCGATCGTGTGGCCCCGCCTCTTTCCAGAGCCAGCCCTGCCCGTAACTCCTATCGTCCTCTATCTACTTCTGGCTCCTCCCCAGGCTGGAAGGAAGAAGCGGTGATGGTTGTGAGTGATGGCCTGAGTCTCTGTATCCTATTGCCGTCATTTTCGATGCGTTGCAGCAGGAGGAGGAGGCGGCCGGGGGAGCGGTGCACAACACAGAGAAGACAAGAAGGGGAGATGGAACTGGCTATGTGTACTGCTCATCCGAGGATAGCCGATGACAATGTACAGTGTGGGGAGCACTCACCCACAGGACGGGATGGGGGGGGGGGGAGGGGAACAGACCCTTCGAAATTGAGAGATATCTGGGGCTCCTGACAGACTTCAGTATGGGGGGGGGGACTGACAGCTGAAAGGACACCTCCTGTCGCAGAGACACAACAGGAGGTGAGAGGTTCCCCCCACATTAGAAACTTGTCATCTCAACAGGTGTCCCCATTGGAGGATTTCCCCTCACCTCCACTTGTGGTGACACCTCTAAAATTTTGTAACCCCCCCTCACTATCTAGCATGTATCTGGTGAAACAGTTGTCACTAGAACTGGAAGTTAGATAGAAATCCCTCCAACATCACCCCACATAGCAGTAGATACCCAGAGCAGAGGTTCTTATCCTTCCCTACTGTATCCCTGTATCCAACTACAAAAAGAAAACGTTCTTTACCTAGACATTCACTGCTCCCCAAAAAATGTCAAGTCAAATGTTTTAAGTGCTGACAGGCAGAAGTGTTTTATGACAGAAGAAACTGTCTCTGTTGTCATAGATACTTCTGGCCTGTAGCTTTTACCTAACAATGTTGAAAAAGGAAGCAGTCACCTCAGAGCTCCCTATTCTGTTTAATGTGGTTTTGCACAGAGCAGCCCTGATCCTCCTCTTCTCGGGTCCCCTGCACGTGCTCTTGGCCCCTTCCTCCTGCTGAGTGTCCCCCTATGGGGGCACCCAAGAAGGCTCGCTCCAGAGCCTCTGTGTACATTCACACACACAGCCGTGGCTTGGCCTCTCCCAGTTGCGTATCATTCATGGGTGCAGGGTGTTGAGTGAACACAGGCCCGGGGGGGGCCCACTGTGCTCCAACAGACACTGCACCTATGGATGATACATGTAGGGACAGTGTCGGAACTATCAGCATGGCCAATAGCGGCAGCTCCTGGCCAGTCAGTTTGCCATTAATCTGGACCAGACACTGGGTTCGTACCCTGTACTCAGGGCCTGGCACTCCTCTGTCTCTGCGGGCCTCCGACATTAGTGAGGAGTTTATCCCCTTTTCAGGGCCTCTCATCACTGTATTGGTGTCACTAGGGATGTCAGTGACACCAAGTCAGTTCCCCTCAGTGTCAGAATACTTGCCGCAGTCCCGCTGATCGCTGCCATTTCTAGTGAAAAAGAAAAAAAAATCAAGTAAATATACAGCCATTTTTAGACGTTATAACTTTCACGGTAACCAAATAATTTACACATATT